GACGAGATCTCGAATTTATCTGCGGAAGGCAGCTATGGAGAGGTCAACGATATAACATGATTTTGCAATCGTTGAACGATTAAAAACGAATATTATCGTCAGAATATACCGATAATAGTGATAAGAAACAGCTATTAATATAATGCTGAAATAAGTACTAATTTGTTGTGACTTAAATGCTCGTTCGTTAGTTATCATATTGACATTAATGACCGATCTACTAATTCTATGTTACATTGTGCTAATCTTCTTTAGCTTGCATTAATGAGGGGGTCTACAAAACTTAAATGTTTGCATGATTACAAGTTTTTAACTTGCAGTTTTATTAATTTTGTTAAAATTACATATATATATATATATATTCAGTATATTTATATAATGTTATTTATACATTTATATAAAAATTGTTTTAAGATTTTATTTATATTCTTTAAGTATTATAATATAGAATAAATAAATTTAATATTCATGCTTTTTTATTCATTAAAATTATATGTCGGGACCTCGACAGATTAACGGTAAATGAAATTTCCACAGAATCAACGCAGAACGCTTGATATAACAATTATAGCAAGCATTTTGTAAAAACAAGCAATTTATTTCAAGTGACAAATGCAAAGCCAACGCAAATTCATAGTGATTAATTAATCGCATTGACGTAATAGTCGCTTTAACACACTTCACTGATTGGGGTAACACATCTCTTTAATGACGTCCTTTAGTCACGCGCGGGGATATTCGGTTTGGTCTTATAATTATCAATGTATGAAGAAAGATGAATTTAATCTTGGAATAAAAAGAAGAGACATTATACAGTAAAGCATTTTTTGTCATAGGGCAAAATTATTAAATTATATTTTTGTTGGTCAATTAAAAGGATTTAAAATAAAAATACAATTAATCGCGTATATTAAACGTATTTTGAAACATTTTATAGAAACTTTGTAAAAATAAACAATTAAACAATTAAATATATTTTACTGGAATATATATTCAAATAACCAATTAATATAAAAAAATAGATATATAAAATACTTTATTAAAAAATAATAATAATTTAATAACAGTTTAATTTTATCAATTAATATATATTATTAATAATATAATTTAATATTAATAATTTAGTAAAATATCAATTTTAGTAAAACATTAATTTTATGGATAAACAGAAATTTCGATACTGAAAGTACATAACTGGATAAAATGATGTAAGATGTAGCTGATGTAATAATAAGCTGATGTAAGATGTAATAATAATTAGCTAAAAACGTCAATGTTACAGATTTTTTATGTTATGATTTTTTTTTTACGCAGTATAACTCTCGGTCTAACTAATGTCATACCATTTGCATAATATCTTTTTAACTAGTTGAGAAATTCTTTGTCTTTTTATTTAAGTAAACAGAAGAGTATTTATTTTAAAACCAAGTTAATAGTTTTTCAAGTGTTTTCCATAAAATAAAAAACACATTCTTATTTCGATTGCTATAACACCATAAAATAGTGCTAATTCCATTCTACAGCAAGTAAAGAAAAAGAGAGAATGAGAACGAAAGAGAGAAAGAGAGGTAATTATTACTTATCGTATTTACAAGGACAAAAACGTCGTAAGCAGCGATAAGATAAGTAGAAAGCTTGGCATTTTGTTTCCCGTACGGCGGCAAATAAGTAAGGAGGAGAGGTCAGTTGCATTTAGAAATTATCAATGGATTAATGGAATATTTCGAGATATCTTTTAACAAAAAAAGAAATTTGAAATTCGCTTTCATAGGCAACTTTTATTTTTTACGTTTCGAAATTATAAATCTCTCTCTCTTTCTCTCTCTTCTTTATATATTTAAATAATTTAGAGGGATCAAATTTGGTGTCTGCGGAATTCGGACATAACGGGTATCCGGAATATCCGGATGAGCCTGTGCGAATTCAGATAATAAATACTTGGATATATAAACTACGCAACGTACCAATAACCATATAATGCTAACATGAGAGATGCAGTGTCTCTTATTTTATTTGCGCGTAGAAGACAATTAGTGTCAGGCTTCACATAAAGTCACAGCGTGTTTCTTCTTTTACGCATTTCTTAGAAGCTTTATTTGTTAAGATATGACTTCAAACATGATTTTTTTACAATTTTAATAGTAAATGCAATGAGAATTTAATTTATTTTTCACGTTTACTGTTTAACGATTTAAATTAATTTTTAAATAATTTAAAGATCAACTTTTTTAATGATAAATAAAATGCTTTTTTTGAACAGATTATACATTGTAAAATTTTTAATTTTGAAACATTTTGATTTTTGTATTAAGTATTACATATTCAATTCATATTCAATTCAATTTAAAACGTTTAAAATAAATTTTCTACATATTATACAGTTTAAATAATCTTATAATTTTATTTATAGTTACATATGTAAATATAAATAATTTTATATTGTAATAAAATGTAATTACATGATTCAATTATCTAGATTATCAATTTACGAAGCAGATTATATGTATAAAATAAGAGTAAAATGAATAAAATAATATTCAGGAATTCCAAATTGTGAAATATTTTGTGCACTTTTAAAATACCTAATCTGCTGTATCACTATTAAATCGTCTATGTATTAATAACGTGTTTTCAAGGTCTTGTTAAAAATTCACGTGTGAAAGTTAGTCACGTGCGAGATCGATTAAATTGATCGTATCACCCGCGTCGAATAGTCATCGAAATTTATTGACTAGCCCTAGCTGTTTCACCGCGATATACCTAATCAATTAACGTGGATCTACCTCTCATGTGTATGCAGATATCTTGACATAGCGTTTTCAAGTATGTGTTAATCGTGCGTAACGCGTCGCGTAAACATTGTCCGTGAACTGATTAAACGAGTGAGTGATCACGTGAACGCAAAGTGCATACTTACATTCGTGCTTGTTCAAATATCGATCAGTTAAACGTTAATTCGCGAATCCATTTGCAGGTATATTAAGCCTTAATTCGGGTAAACTTGATCTTTAGATTTTATGTAAAAGGAAACAGATTTTATAAATATTATATTGTTATAAATATTTTATTATATTAATAATAAATTATTTATAACGTATTATTATTTATGACATATAACAGTATCTCTTCCTTTTTTAATATTCTCTATATCTTATATAATTATTCTTGCTTTCTCCTCTCTCTCTTCTTCAATATTATAATTATGTTTAATTATTAATGTATTATACATAAAATACAACTGTTTTAAATCAACTACTTATAATTTAATTATCTGTTTCAATATTTATATACATATAACTACTAATAAACTGTTGGCAACAACATTTTATAAATTTTATTATTTTTATGTTATCCTCCTTTTATGAATATAATTAATATTTATAATTAATATTTAATCGAGTTATGTATAAATATTTAAGTAAATAAGTAAAATAACAATACAAAAGTTAAGATGAAATATTTAAATATATTAATAATTATGATTGACATCTAAAATCAAATATAGCTGATCTTTTATATTCATCGAATATTTCTTTATAAATTCAATGAAATCGTCCAAAAACGACATCGGTTAATTTTTCGAAAGTCAATGACCACGTTTTCACTATCAGCACAGTGGTTCTCACGACAATTAACTACTTGAACAATCACTCTTTTGAACGCTCCATCACATACGTTAGCATTTTTTATTCAATAAACGTGTCAACCGCGCATGACGCGTACATTTTATTCCTCTTCTTTCATTTCCGCCTGCATATTGTGGTTCGACTAATTGGCGTTTCAGCCACGAAACGTCTCGACAACTTTTAACTTGTCTCGTTACGTCCTGTTTATTTATCTTAATTTTGAACAAGCAAGAAGATTCAAGTCTTGTTCTTATCTGTTACATATTCTTCGAAAAGAGATATCATCAATTATCTTGAAGTTAATATAACACATTTGATTTATATTTTACAATTAGAAGAGCAAATCTTTATTATTTGCTTGTATGATAGCACATTTGCCCTATTTATTTCATTACACTTATTCTTACTTTTACCAGTACTTTTATCAATAGTTCATGAATTTCTATTAACTTACATTTAGGAGAAAAGAATAATTCAATATCGATTATATATCTTTATAGAAAGTAATATTTATCTCAATATTTATAAGTATATTTTCAAATTGTAAAACATATCAATACTTAAAGTTTATGTTTTCAAAATATCGTTAAAAGAGTAATAATAAGTTATAATAATAATACAGAAAATATTTCAAAGTGAGAAACTCTTGTACGATGACTAATAATTGTGATACGATGGTATCTAATAGAATATTAATGACGTGATGATTTAGAACGCCGACGTAGGCACGATAACTGGACAGGATTTGTAGCTTCTACTTTATAATTCACTGTCCCTCTTCAAGTCCGAGGAAGATAAAATTAACACCACGGACGAGCCCCCGAGTCCGTCGTCGTGTCTGATGGTATCTCTTGAATCGTGGAATTAATTAACCACGCGCTAATTGCGAAATTATTCGCATCACTCGTAAAGTATCATTTCTGCAAACAAGAAACGTAAAGAAGTCATTTCCATAAATAACAACCGGCATTACGCAATTATACAACTATTATTGAGATTAAGCACTGATTGGGAGATCGAATTAAGGAGAAGATTTCCGTTTTTCCAACACATTCTCTCTCTCTCTCTCTCTCTCTCTCTCTCTCTTTCTCTTTGCCAGCGTAAAACAGAGAAGAGCAAAATTAACTTAGCACGGGCAAGCAGCGAGTGTAAAGTTAGTCGAACGACTCCGGCATTCGACACGTGGCATAATCGGACTCAGGTGGGCGACAACAGGTGATGCCGAGTGGTTTGTTTATCGTCACCGCGCCGCGCTGCGGGATCTTCCACGCGTCGCATAGCGTCGCGAAGAGACTTGGAAGAGGCGAGACAAGTCGCGGACTCGTCGGGTCTCCTCTGAGAGGCGCCGCGCGATAGTAATTGGGGAGGGGCGCCCATATAAATGGTACCACTCTCACTCCTTGTCGACCAGTTCTCAGGGTGCGTTGCTCCCACGTGCTTTCTCCGCGCGGTGTTGCTCTATTTTCGTTCTCTCTCTCTCTTCGTTCTCTTCTCTCCCGCGGCTTCGCTCGAAAACGCGCAAAAGACCCGAGATCGAGATCTCTCCCGCGAAACCAAGACGAAATTCCGCAACGATGAGCACCAACGTCCTCGTCAGGATTTGCGGGCCGAGGCTCTTGCGCGTCGCGATGACCGAGCAAAAATCATGGATCAGCGTCAGCAGGTGTCTTAGGTTCGTAGAGATCAAAATTATTAGGATTGATCGATCTTTAAATGAATAATGAAGACGGAGAGTCTTGAGACTACTGATATACATTCGTTAGATCTGTTCTCTTTGACTGCACTAATCAAAACGTAATAAATATCCATTTTAGAGAAAGAAATATAAAGTAAAAGTAAAAATATAAAGTAACGTGTGGTCTGAAAGAACAGATTTACCAGTCGAAAATTGATTAATAATGTTGTTTCTCAACATCTTTTAATACGTAATCTTCAATGTCAAAAATGTAGTTTTTCAACGTCTTTTAATATCCCATGGTACAGTATTTTTTGTAATACTGTAGACAAATTTAAAATTGAATTTTTTTTAAAGAAAATTGGACCAGATTTTATTTTCTAATTTTTGAATTTCCAAAATTAAATATATTGACAATCAAGTTCTGAAACTTATTCGATTGCTTTAAATCAAATTTTAATTAGATAATGATTAAATTTTTTAGTCAGCAAATTGACTTAAAGGGACACCCGTTATATACAGGAATTAATAAAAATGCTGCAAATGTGCAATTATAAAATTTTTATTAATACTAATATAAAAATAATAATCTGGATATTCTAGTAATATACTTGAATATTAATAATGTTAATTTTTATTAGATAAAATTGTTAAATTTTTTTCGAGAATTATTTCAAGCTGTTTTAATTGTAATATAAATTAAATATATAAATTATAATAATAATTACTACCTATATATATATCTATTTTTTTTTTAGTAAAATAATTTCTGAATATTTTTTGCACAACTTTTGAAATATTTCTTAGAATATTTTTCTGTCTTCCGTTTCTGAAGTTTATATTTTCAAACTGAAATTTTTTCAAGCGATAACAAAAGTATTTAGCGATGTGCTTTATGACACATATCTCCACTCTTTTGTTTGACATTTAAGTCGTCTTTTTTACATTTTGTCGTTCTTTACATACACAGAAATGTCGCTCGTAAATTAATCGTAAAAGAAAACCGTCGTAAATCATTACTTGAAAATAAGAGATAAAAATATATTTCCGGTCTTAAACTGATGTACAACAATACGTAATCGTAAAGCTATAATTTACTTAAGATAATAACATGGGAGACAGAAAAAGCTAACATATCAACAGCTTTGCGTATAACAGCCTGATATTGACGTCGTTGTGGTGCATTGCTCGTAAATGATTGCGCACTACTGTTAGAACGAGGAGTTACGGCAATAGGCGATTTTGTGAGATTAATGATCCCGTGGTTAATGGAATGTGGCCAAAGTTAAGGTCGGCAGCCGCGAAGCTTTCGCTTCATTACAAAGCAAATTTATAATGAACACGAATGGAAAGGACAGAACTTAACATAATGTTACATAAAGTACGTGAATTCCTTGCATATGTTAATGCCTAATAAACAGGATATTAATCTAAGTAAAATACATAAAGTAAAAGAGATATGTAATTAAAATAATTAAAATAACCTGACGAAAACAATAGCATGAGTAATGAGAACAATAAAAGAAAATATTCCGGTAAACGAAATCATTTAAATGACATTAAATTACAATTTGCGTGTGATAAAGTTAAATAATAAATTATATTAAAGAAAGGAATCATTTTCTTTATACAAACAGCGCAATAAGAACAATACTAATACATTCAAATCGAGCAATACATAAATATAAATAATACATAAATTGGCACAGTTATTTGCGCTATTTCTGTACCATCATTTGAATTTGAATATTCCTTATGCGCCCGTTTCAGGAAGATACATTCAATGGCATTCTTTGTGTGAAAACCTCAATTGTATTGATTCGACATATATACAGCTTTTTGAAGGAAGGTCTCGTCGAGGTCGTTTATACGCAGCGTTCGAATTATTTATAATTTCTGCTTCCCGCACGTATCATTTATAGAATGTCGCGATAACACGTTGCTATTTTTACACGACGATTTAGCGTCGACTGAACCAAAATTTTCAATACTGGTCTGCACTATTGAAATGCATTATGCATTTCGTCAAAAAAAGAATCATCTCTCGGAGTCGAAACTCCGTAACGGAATTACGGAATCTCGGATAATTCTCTGATATTTAAATGTCAAAGCCGGAACGAATGGAAGTAGGTGCTCCGCAGCAACTATAGCCGGATTAAATTTCGAATAAATCATGCGCCGCTCTCAGCGTGAGTGTCTCTACTGTATGCATGTATAAGAATGTCTTCTCAGAAAGAATTTCTGATAACGAGGAGAAAAATATTCTTGACGATTTAATGTTATCGCAATCTTAATATCGCAGAATAAAAATAAAACAATATTAAGATTACATCAATAATTTCTATTATTCTCTCTCGAATTAAGTAAAATTAATTGATTATCTTGAGACAAGAGTAACACAAATTTAAGTTTATATATTCTTACGAGATCAGAATAAATCTTTATCCGATTATAACGTACGATGGCGCCATAATATTTAATGCAAAATTGATATGCGATCATCTTTCACTCAACTCTTTATTCTAATTTTAAGAAGTTTCCATGTAAGAGTAAAATATTCTTCTCTCAATAATAAATATGATTGATGTCTCTATATCGATTTTATTTTATAATAGCATTGGATTCAGAAATCTTATCTGTGGGTGCAGTATATATATGTAACCCTCGTTAAGAAGTCATTTTCCTCTTTCGCAAGTCTTCTGTTAAAGGAGAAAGGCTTCCGATATCATTTTACAAAAACTAGACTCACGGAATACTGATAACAATGATAACAGAAATAAAAGTAAAAAACAACTTGCTATAAAAATTAAATATTGTCGAACAAAATCAAATGAAAGAGAGAATTAATGGAACACAAATAAAATGAAAAGATTAGGATATAATCTATACTGATATATTCGAGAGTATTTATCTATTGTTACTTTTATATAAGACAAATTTAATGGAGCTCCTAATTCGTGCGAACGCTAACGACATCATATCAAGAGTAAATTAGTCAGCGTTGATACGAGATCTTTAACAATATTAGAAATGTGAAAAACAAATCGAAGATACCAGCACATTAGATAACACAGTAAATAAAATCAATGTAAGCTTAATATAATAAATTAAATGTAAAACGTGTAAGTCGCGTTTACATTTATATTAAGCTTATATTGATTATATTCGTTTTTTATTATCTATGTTGGAATCTTTAATAATATATATTTATATGTAAGGCAACACGACGAAAAGCTTTGCCAGTTACAACAACACGCAACATTTTGTTCATTGATATGATGAAACGTTAGCAATATTGACCGTAGAAACACAAGAAATAATGTGTCACATTAAAACTTTTCGAAGCTAACAATCGTCAACTTTGAGAAATCTTATCTCCGAAACTGACAAGAGGCAATATAATGAAGAGTGAATTATGTATTTCTAAGAAATTTTCTCGAACCAGTAATTCCGAGAGAAGTATGTCGATTCGTATCGCGACGTCTTATGTGCGGAAAATACCGCGATAACAAATCGAACGTTTGATAAGGAGGGTACGTCAGTGGGTCTTTTATCGCTATTTTTCGCTCCGTCGACGAGATGCCTCTTCGTTCACATCGAGAGATGATATTTCTTTCATTTTTTGTGTTAGTTAAAGAGAGCGCGATCAGACTTTACTACGGATTCCAGGACTTGGTCGTGTTATATGCACGTACATCGTACATACATCAAGGAGGTCAAGGACGGCTTCGTCCGAAGTAGGCTTCCGCGCCTTCTTTCACCTCATCATATATATATTTTTTTATTATCTTTTTGTCCGTTTCATCTGTTCGTCCCAGATGCTTTCTTCATACAGCGATTAACCTGTCGCGGAAACAAGTAAATTATACGTTTAATCCAGGCTGACCTTATTTGCGCGCGAGTCGTTAAATGCGCGATGCACGTAATGCGAAAAATTTAGCCACAAAACCTCTCGCGAGGCTCTTTTCGCGGCGAACCGTATCCGTATTTCTATGTGAATTAAGAGAAATCGCGAATATCCCCGATTATTATATCCAACATGAAATTATAATTATTTAAATTATTATTTATAACATATAACAAAATATTTTATTATGCGGAATTAATTATAAAATATTGTCTAACTATTACAGGTTTTTTAAAATTAAGATTATAACTTGAATCTTGAGAAATATCTCATAATTTGTATTGCTCTTCTAATATCAATATTATAATATTTATGGAGGTTTTTCAATTTCAATTTCTAAATATGTTTGAATTGTAATTGATGGGTTTCCTTCAAAGTGCTTATAAAAGAAATGAAATAGTAACGGATCAAAGCTTATCGCTGAAACTTGATGAAGTCAACACTTCGATGCCACAGAACGTGTAAATAAACATAGTAATTATCCTAATGGCGACAAATTTTTATCGTTTTGCTTTTCGAGTTTAAATGCCGGCAAAACTTGCAAAGAAATATTGACAGCCGAATCATGCGAAAATTCAAATATGTCACAGTGCCCTGGTATATGTGTAGTCATCGCACGAAATGTGTTGGGGAATAAAGCCGAAATGCTGAACAAAAGAAACTATAAATACACGACGATGTAAACGACCGCGGTTAGCATTCGAGGATTTCTTTCTTCAGCATGTCATGTTTACTCTCTTAACATATTCTCGATATTTTCATGCAAACTTCTAGGACACCGTGGAAAATTTTTGCTTTTTCCGATTTTAACACTTTGTTTAACACTTTGACCGTCATATTTGGGAGGGAGAAATAATGCGTAAAATTTGCAAAGTTTATTATTCATTTATGGATGATATATAATTTTTTCTCCAATTTAAAATAACTTTATTAAAAATTTAAGACGTTAAAGAATATATAATATAAATTATATTAAGGCATTGAAGAAGCAATAAAGTATTGAAACAAATGTACTATAGATTTATTAAGCTCAATGCCGAGATCAACTTGACAATCAAAGGGTTAAAAAGTAAGAGAATTAAAGAAGCGCTTAAATCTCTGGCGCGCGTATCGGGCTAATTGTAAGACGCTAATATATAGCTATAATGTAGATGGTATATCATATTTTTTCGTGACATCACTTTCTGTCCGCGTGTCCAGATACGCGAGCGATATGACGCATTAACGCGCACGTGCGTACTATTGGCCACTTATGGCAAAACAACGGACTCTGGATGGAGCAAAGGTCGCTGATCGTCACGAATACGTTCACCCTGCATCCACGCGAGTTCAGCAGGAAGTACATTAACCTCCGCACTTATTTTCATCCTTCAGTCTTTCTCCGAGCTCGTAGATTATGAGAGAAAATGAAAAATTCGTATATGTGAAAAGGAACATTACTGTATGTACAAAGAAGATAAAGATAAATTATCACTGACGCAGGAAAACGGACATTAACTAGGGCTATTTTGACAGCTTTTTTTTTCACAAAGCATATAATAAATGAAAATCGATCGATATATGTATACACAACAATAATAGATACATTACAAGCCCGTTAGGTCAAAGCGGTGTCCAATAATATTTTTACAAAAGTTATATTTATAATTTACATTGATTGTAAATTCTTAATTAAATATATTTAATGAGAAGTCGATTACAAATCGATTTTAATTAAACGTTTAATTTTAATATAAAAAATGTTTTACAAATAACAAATATAAATTCATTAATAAAGAATATAAAGTTTTTATTATAGAAAGTACGTATTACGCGTTTGATTTGAATTTCTGAAAACTGTCACAATTTTTATTGCTCGTAAATAAAATACTGTAAATACAAGCTTGGGATATCGTAAATTACATTGTATTAGTGACTATTAGATTGTAATAAGTATAAATCAGATTTACCGCCTATTTACGGTTCAGAATTTTTTAACACATGAAAAATTGCACTTGTCTGACTGTCAATTGCATCTCAGACCTTCGATTGGTTTTACAATCGTCTCGCAACAAAAGTAGGTCAACACTTGCTAAGCATTTAATTCATCGATTGAATGATTAAGATGATTTGTACATATATATTGCATAAAAGTGACTTCTTGATCGCACGTGACCGAAGATAACCCACCGTTCAATTTTTCCCTTGTCTGACAGTCCTACATAATATATACAAGATGTATCACGTAAACTTCAGGGAGAAACTTTTAAGAGTAAAAAGTAGATCAATTCCGATACAAGTAGAAATCTCTAAACGATCGAATTAACACGATCCGCGATACTTCTTGCCTGAACGTCAGCAGCTATTAGAAACGATATATTCATCGAGAGAGATAATCTCTCGCAATTCCACGAGATGAATCAGATATAAATTATAAATCTTGATTTCCAGATAGTTCGTTCTTGACTTAGCTACTCGTAGATCGTCTTTAGAATAACGATCGTGTATTACCGCAGGCGTTTCTAGCGACGATTAAAGACGCGTGGCACTAATTATGTAATTTCGGAATGACGTAATTTTACACGGTTATATTAATCGCCGGGAAGATACCGCAGCGTCGCATCGACTCTCTCCAAATTAAGGTCAAAGTTCATCCGTAACGTGTGTCTGTACCATAGACTTATAAGAAAGTCTATGGTCTGTACCAAACTGCCGACGCGCGTCGGTATCAGACCCCCGAAACACATCAGCCAGAACATTAATTACTATACGCTAACACTGTTCGGCACATACTGTCCCACTACTCATTAGTAGGAAATTCAATCTTAAATATATTAACAAGATTAATTCGAAAAGTACAAATAAAGTTTGTACGAAATTAAACGAGAAATACGAGACTCGTAAACCGTGTAAAATAAATTGCATTTAAAACAGAAGTTTCAACCTCATTCAATTTATTCTTTTGCAAAAAGTCATGCGCTTTTAGTCGTATATTTGAGAACTGTGTTAAATTTAAAGTTAATATTAAATTTTAAAATTAAAATAAATTTTCTTAATTAAAAATCAAAATTTACACCAAGTTGTTCTAACAATAAGTTGCGAAAATTAAGTCGCGATACTGCATTCCCGATTCTATTAGATCTTTTTTTTACGTGTATTCGATCTTTTTTAACAAGATAACAATATACGAGGATAAACAGATAAACAGACACAAAAAATATAGGAAGTAGGAGAATTGATGAATCGCGATTATTGTAGAATCGTGTGTTATCTATCGAAAACAATTTTTATATGGCTCCCGAACGTGTGTGTCTTATCTATAAATCAGAGATAAATGTATCTGCAAGAATAGCAACATTTCGGACCCGGGCATTCGATCACGATCAACAAATGAATTACGCAATCGCGCCGGATAAGACGTTGTACAAAAAGGCATTCAGCCTTGCCGAAACGATGGTTCAAAGTCGAAAATTTTCCGCTCGATCGATCGTTTCGATCACTTCCCACTCCTGTGATGCGACTTTTATGGCATCGGACCTTGATTACACACGTATACGACAGACATAGGTGTTTGGATCTTAATAACGCTTTGTATTCACGCGATCATGTTTTCGAAGAAGGACGTTCGAAAAAGCAAAGTAAAAAGTATTATTAATTAGCGATATAAATTCAAATGCATGTCGCTTTATAAATATAATCTGAGAATACAAAAGAAATCGCTTTGTTGAAAAGAAAAAAGAAAAATTCCGATATCGTCCAATACCAGAGAAAAATATCTGTTTTATTTTGAGACATAAAAATTCCATTGATAGAGCGGAAAAAAACCTTATGCTGGCGAACCACGGAAAGTACCACAGATTATATTTATCGCTCCAAACGTTTATGGAAATCGAGCTGTCAAATGTTCTGGGACCAAAAAGATTACACGAAACGGGAGATTTCCAAAAGAGATGTTTCTCGACCTCTCTGTCTCCGCCGCTTATCGATCGCTCGGGGAATCTTTCCGTGAAGTGTTTTTTTCGGTAAGGAACCAGAGGAAATATCCCGCCGTGTCGCGCCTCCGCGACGGCCGTGCCGCGCCGGGAGGAGACTAGGAGAGCCGCGACCGCGACGGCACGCACGCCTCGCGTGCTCCGCGCGTGAAGCCCCTGTATGTGGGCGCACCTATCTTTTTCACGGCACCACCACAATTAAAGCCTTTCCTCCACGCGTGCGTTCGCGCGCGTTGCATCCGTATCGCGTATGCGGTACGCGCGTCACGCCGCCGCGTCGCCGCGACGATCGAGGCCGGGCAACGGCGCGACGCGACGCGCCACGCGGTCGCGTTAAGCCTGTTTTCCACGGTGTGCCGTTTTCCGGGAAGTCTGCGCCGCGACACATGCCGATGAAATGAATACTTTGGCTCGAAAGCAATTCTCTTTGCGGTCCAAAGTCGATGCAAAATTCGCTCAAATCTAACATCAAGATCAAGCTTAAAAATACAAAACTTGATGCAGATTTATATAATAAAAGAGATTATAAAAAAATTAATAGAACTAATATAAATAAATGTGTGATTTTATTTTTTACAATATCATTTTTTATGTAGAACGATATAAAATTGTAAATTATACAATGATAGACACGTGAACATTGCATGCAATTATCAAAATTATTGGATAAATACTGTAAAAACTGTTTCTGAGCACAAATATTAATCGTAACACGAATATCTAATCAATAATTACTGAGCATAGATTGCATCCGGGGATGAATTTAAAAGAATGTTAGAATATTAGATACAGAAAAGTTTTTGAACAAAAAATTGCTTTTGGTAATCTATATATTAAAAGGAATTTTTCAAAAAGAAAGTCTCAATTTACAATCTGACAGATCACTTTTTATATCATGCATATGCCTCGAGCTTAATTTTAACAAATAATGTTGAATATGTATTGCCGTAGCCCTTATGTCATTGTTATCTTTATTATTTATATACTTTGATTTTTATCGTAACGAAAACATACATATTACATGAGACGAATAATATTTTAAACGTGACAATAGTCGACGTGTGAAGTCATTTTTTAACGCATCTTGACTTGTTCCCATAATAGTGAGTACATGAACTCTCGTACTTCGAGATTGTTATACATTAATCTCGAGTCATTAAAAAATTTTCAATATTATTATTAATACAGATACGTTTGCTTTCAATCTGGAAATTGGAAGCCCATCTCACACAACACAAATTGCGGAATATACAATAACGTCTATTAGCGGAATAGATTACTGATATTGGTGTATTAATATATTACTCTTTGCTGAAGAAAAGAAGCCTTCTCTGAAGGCCGAAACATTCCCATAAACATTTTTACATGCAGCAGAGGCGTGCGTACTGGATAATCGTATTAAGTTTCAACAAAGCAGTTTAGGGCATATATTTATACTCTTTCTTTCTAAAATAAGCCAAGGAATATTCCTTTCAATTTTTTGTTACTTAGAAATTACGCTGTATATATCTATATTGTTAAAGAAAAAGAGAAATCATGTCTCTCGATTCGAGATAATTTAATTAACACTTCACGAGATTATCTCTTTTCTAATTCTTATACCGTCTTTGTTATGCGAAAGATGGTTGGAAAGAAAGTTTGTATTTCCATTTAATCACATCAATGTTCTTCTTTCTATTACAGTACCACTATGTCGCGAAGCATGCTGAAAGATTCGCCGAATGCGGCGTTGGACAAGACCCTGTTGCAGAAGTATCTTGATCTGCCGCAACCGGAGAATGCGATTCAAGCGAAGTATATCTGGATCGACGGTACGGGCGAAGGATTACGTAGCAAGACCAGAACCCTGAACTTTGTACCGAAACATCCGGCTGGTAAGTGCATCACGCGTATTAATAATACAATAAATTAAAAATTGTGTTGTACCCGAATTAATTTTGTTCGGTAATCACAAGCCTTATAAGATGAAGCTTTATTTATGTTTATAGTTTTTTCTTTTCGCTTTTTCCTGTATCCAATTCCAATTTCTCTATTCTAGATCTAAGTATATTACTTTTTACATACAATATATACAATTAATACCATCTTAAATTGTCTACCTACTTTTGTAGTATCTTTAATACAAATTTTTTCTGCAATTATCCTTTTAAGTAAAGTAATTGGCTTATCAGATTTTGAATTCCTTAATATCTTGATATTTCCGATTATAACGAATTTTTTAATAAAAGAAACGTCTCTTCTCAAAAGGAAAAAATTGCTTTAACTATTAAAGTTCTTCGTGAGAGGTAAGAATGTTTCATTGAGGAAACATCTCTCTTCGAGAGGAGAGAATCTTTTATTAAAGATGACTCATTCGCGTGATCAAGTATCTCTAATTGCCTTGCAATCGAATGATTTTCCATAAATTTCAATGGGACATTGATGCACGAGTAGCCGGGATTCGATCATTCAATTCGATCGTTATCGCTCTGCCATCATCCATTCGCGATTTTACGATGCGTCACAAAGAAGCGATTCCGTAAAAATCTAATAATATCCTGTAATAAAACAGTAAAATATCACATTCACCATCACTTGATACTGAAATTTTTATTACAGAAATTAATTATCGCGTAACCAACAGTATGAGATTACCGCTCGTCAGAACTCTGCAGCAGTAAAAGTCCTAATTTAATACGCGTGACTGATGAAGGAGTAATAAAAATTTAAGCCATATTCACCTCGTGTTATAATAGTTACGAAAAGCGTTTATTTTCAAAAGGGAATAATATTATTTAACATCATTTTTGTATAATATTTGTTACTAAAAACCAGAATTTACGGAAGTGAATTTTATTTTTACAATATGATAGACACCTTTGAATAATTGATAAAAATTCTTTATGACTGATTATTCCGAAATATAATGCAGATATCATTACTTTTGCATCATGTGACGCTGTTATTCATTTATTGAAGGTATAAATTTTGAAAATAAATCAAAGCTTATTATAGATTATATATATTAAATTAATTGCATTAAATATTGATGACTATATTAATAAATATAATGACTTTTTCTTGAATAAAACTTCGATGAAAAATTAAATGCCACGGATAAAATCAATGAATATCAGATAGATGAGAAAATCCAGTTTCTTAATCGATAGATTTCGGAGAGAAAATAAATTTGAATATTTTATTAGAATATCGGTTTTTTAAAGATTTTTACATTCAAAGTTTAATTTGAGAATTTATTCTTCAGAATTAAGGATTAATTATTGAAATATTTACTATTAATCGAAATTAAAAGTTAGTAATAATTTATTTTTCATGAAATTGGTTGCGGGAAATTTTAACTGTAGAAAATAATCGAGTTGCAATCTTGCTAATAATAAGAAGCCCCAGCAAATGCGACCTGCTTAATAACTCATCTCAGTTTCTATGCGGAATATCAGACTCAATTATCTTTTCCAGACCTGCCAACGTGGACTTACGACGGCAGCTCGACGTACCAGGCCGACGGTGCCAACAGTGACATATTCCTCTACCCGGTGGCGATTTACAACGATCCCTTCCGCCGCGGCAGCAACAAGCTCGTGCTATGCGACACCTACTACAGCGACAAGACGCCAACGAAATCGAACAAGCGATACCGCGCGAATCAGGCGATGGAGACCATCAAGGATCAGGAGCCCTGGTTCGGCATCGAGCAGGAATACACTCTCTTGGATTTCGACGGTAGGCCGCTCGGCTGGCCCAAGAATGGTTTCCCGGGCCCACAGGGTCCCTATTACTGCGGCGTCGGCGCCGACAAGGTAATCGGCCGTGAGATCGTCGAGGCCCACTACCGGGCCTGCCTCTATGCCGGAGTGAAGCTCGCGGGGACCAACGCCGAGGTGATGCCCTCGCAATGGGAATTCCAGGTGAGTAATTGAAGCCGATAACAGAAAACGAAGGGAATGCGTGCAGCGTTCATATAATCCGGAGTCTATATCTTTCCTCGATAACAACCGGACGAAAAATCAGCTTACAGATTAAGTTGCGACAATCTAATCAGACAATATAAACTCGAATGAATTTAATTGAAGATCTACAGCTTTACTTTACTGCAAATTTAATTTATGAACTTTGCACAAAACTCGAGACTGCTGGCAGAGATTTAATTTATAAAGTTCTCTCGCGGGAAAAAAATATCTCCTACGAAGAGTTATTATCGTGCCTCTTTTTACTATGGATCCAGGTGGGACCGTGTTCCGGCATCAACGCCGGAGACGATCTGTGGATCGCCCGATTCATTCTGCACCGCGTCGCCGAGGAGTACGGCGTGATCGTGACCCTGGACCCGAAACCGGTGGACGGCTCGTGGAACGGCGCCGGTGCCCACACCAACTTCTCGACGAAGGGGATGCGCGGCGAGAACGGCATCGCCGAGATCGAGAAGGCGATCGACAAGCTCAGCAAGCAGCACCTCAGGCACATCCAGGCGTACGATCCGCGCGGAGGGAAGGACAACGAGCGCAGGCTGACCGGCAAATGCGAGACGAGCAATATCCATGACTTCAGCGCCGGGGTGGCCAATCGTAACGTCAGCATCCGCATTCCCCGTGGCGTCGCCGAGGAGAAGAAGGGCTACCTGGAGGACAGGAGGCCCAGCAGCAACTGCGATCCCTACGCCGTCTGCGACGCCCTGGTCCGCACCTGCGTGCTCAACGAATAATAAAAACGCCGCGCGACGAGGGCGACGAGAGCGCGTGTGGAAGACACACCGGACCGCATACACGCACACACCCGCATACACACCTGGAGCGTACAATTACTCGTAGAACTTAGAATCCCGTCTGTTTCCCTCGGAACGACGATTAATCACTGAATTCAATCGGAAAAGTAAACGAAATTTTGAGCATCTTCAACATCTTAAGTATCATTCGAGACATTTAACTATATAATATATAACAGGTTCTACAAAAACAAAATTCGCAGGGCACATTAATTCGGCAGGGCATTGAAAGAGAATCGACGTTTGGCCAGTTAGTGTTACAAAAGATTGATTCGATTCTCGTTCGCTGTTCACATTACGTATAAGATATTGTTTAGAGAAGGTCATTTGTGATGAATTTGTTTGGATTGTCGATGCAGCTCGGCCGTATTCATAGTCAGGATATAAATAATAAGGTAATTTTAAGATGAGCTTGTAATTATAATTGCGACATGTTATTGTTCAAGTTATCGCGTTAAATCCCTTCCTAAAGTTCATCTTTTTATAGATTTTATAACGTCATTTTAGAAAGGCAGCGTAAGAATAAGTAAGGAGAATGAGGAAGTTTATAGTTACACGTTATTCGATAATAGTATACGAAATAAAATACAATATATAAAAAACAAATAATCGAATTGACGAAAGGAAACGGCACATTAATTTTCACACATGTACTGAGCTCTTTTGCGCGCATGAAACTATTGAATAATGGAATAAATCGTGAGAGAAAAAGTCGACGTTTTTAGAAACGAAATTTAGCCACAAAATTTTAATTATTATATTTTTCAACATATTTTATAATCACAAACAAATACAGAAAAGCCCTATGTACGCCCAAGGCTAGAGCAGCCGAGGCTAGTCGGTGTCCAATAATATTTTTTATTATTTTTAAATTTCAGGTATAGTAAATGTCGTGTCGATTTCTTTCTTTTAAGTAATTGTTGACACTTTATAATGTTCAATTTTTTTATAAAGTAAACTTGACTGTCATTATGTTTAACTTTATTGTTTATTAACTCTACTATCGACAGGTTTGTTTTTAAATTTGAATGGTGATGCGAATTTAAATAGTGTCGTATATAAATTCACACACATAAACACATATAAAAAAAAATAGATATATAATATACACAAGGTATATAGTGTACATATAATCGCGTTTATATAATATACGTTTATGCAGTCGCTTATAAATTATACACATATATATTTTATGATATTGTATGTACATATCATATATATTATATGAATTATAAGCCACTGAACTAAGATGCACATAATCAGAACAAACTGATTTATCAAAATAATGCTTTATGTTTGGTATCAAATTGTTGAATATTTTATGAATCAGGCGTTTATGTTATACGTAACTATATATTTATGTTATAACTTTACGTAACTGTATGTAATTGCATATATTGTAGGTAAATATGTTGTAATTACTGTACATTAATCAAATAGCGTTTAGGAGGAAAAATAAAAAAAACAAGCTACTCTTATTTATTCCAAATAAATAGTGTATTAGGGGAAGGCAAGCAAAATTGTTTAATGTATGAAAACCTCTAGAAAACATTTTAAAACGTTTCACAAGTATTTGTTATTTTATATTGAAAGCAATGGCGCATATAAAATAAAGTAGCAAGAAATCAAAGTTTTTATAATAAACACCTTTATTACTAACTAAATTAGTATTCTTACATCCTTGCCTCAAGTGTTGAGTTAATTGAAATAATATTTTGCTAAACATTATTTTTATTAAGAAATGTACAGTAATTACAGGACTGATATATAATTCATGATAAAGAAAGAACTTTTTATCTCTTCTAGAGAAACGTGATATTTAAATTGTAGTTTTGCCTTCTGCAGAAAATATACCATTTGCGGATATTAAAAATATATCTAAAAAAAAGACGCGAAGAGAATCATATCGAATATATTCTTGTTATTAAATTAGGAATAAGACTAACTCGAGAAAAACAAGATAAATCTTCGCGGGAATTATGTTTTCGATTTAAATCTTGACTACAAATACGGCCTAGAAAACATATAGCCACTGAATCGATTCCGATAGTTTCGTTCATTCGTATTTAATCTGAGAGAATCGTGTTCAGTGTCATTAAATTCTCAGCTTCACTTGCATAAAAAAATCACATCGAACTTCGAAGCAGATCCATTTAGCACTTGTCAACGCTAAAATATCCAATCTGTCATCTGATTCTGAATTTTATAATGCTACACGTGAAAATCGCGATTCGATATAATTGATCAAGAAGCGGAGATAATTTAGATGCGTGCGAAATTTAATCTAGACGGCAAGATATGAGACAGATGGTTTAAGTGTGCGTGAAGGATGCTGAATAAGAGCACATCCATCGAAACATCCTCCTAGAAATGCGTACGTTTCTATTACAGAGCTAATTAGTAATCGTATACAGCACGTTCCATTGTATAGTTCGACATCGATACTTTCAAAACGAAGAACAACGCCGTCCAATGTTCGTTCTTCGTTATTCAGTCAGATAAGAGCCCGCGCGATCGTCGATGCTCTCGAGCGGATCTCCGCGAAGGATCGCCCGACGAGTATACGGATGATATTCGAAACTCGCAACGCGCAACGCATGTGTGAAGTTGGAAGAAGTTACTGATAAAAATGTGTAGTACAATGCGAAAGTAGTATATAAGGACCGTATCCTTAGGGATACGCGAGGGATCAATAAAGGGGTGTGACGATCGACCGCCAAGGGGATCGACTCGCGACTTGCCTTCTTCGCGGCGTTCTCGCGAGAACGTCGCGAGAACGTCGCACGAGCAGTATATCTAGCAAATATCTAGGAAGTTAGCGCAATTAATAACGTTTAAGAGAGTTTATTATTTCGTAAGTTTAAGGCGAGATTATATGTAGGTTTACGGAGTCGGAAAAAAAAAACGTACGCGGTGTCTCGCGAAGAAAGTCGACCGCGCGCCGACCGTTGCCAAAGCGAGAGTTCGGGGGCGCGACAGTTAAATTTTTAGAGGATTATAAAAAACGTATATTATAACATAATTGTTAAATAAAGAGATTTTATCTTTCCGCCGTTCTCAAATTTTTTTTAAATTCGAATCTTCAGCCGAAATATATGTAACGGCGAAGTTGAGCGGTCCATTCTTATTTCTTCTAAGGAGCTAATCCCGAAAAATTGGAATTCCACCCTCTTCTCCCGAGACACTTCGCGTACGATTGAAATACGTACGTAATAGTATTTTTACGCCAATCCTCGAGACCGAATATCCCATATATGTGTAAGAGAGCGATGCTTTATATATCAATGTGCTTGAACTGATTTAAGGACATCACATCGATATCCCGCGACAATAAAGTATACGGATATCCCGCTTCGCAAAACAATGAACACAAATAACGACGTAATGAACACCAATGAAACAAAAAATGTTAATCATATAATGAAATTTCGTCGGTTTATCGGTTTATCGGTTTGACGAGAACTCTTCACTCCGAAATATCAACGAGATGCAATCGATTAAGAAATCTCATTTTCAATACTTTAAGACACACGACTTTCACACGGAATAGTTTTAAATATGAAACTAGTTCAGTATCTAATTTAATTAAAGAAACCTAATTTAATTATATAATCGAACAAAATATCTCAATTGTCTATAATAAATTTATAAAAATTTGTAAAAAAAAATGCGAATTGTGTAAGCACAAAAACGAACTTTAATGAAAGAATTATTTTACTATTACTATCTTCTTCATTACGCCCTGACAGTCTTGCTAGTCCCCCTCGATCGCTTTTCTATATAATTACTATTATTATCAATGTTATCATTATTATTATTGTACGATGTGTATATATATATATATATATGTATATATATATATATATATATATATATATATACATAAACGATCGATGTAATTTATATATTGTATATTTTCATACTTGTATAAAGATATTTTTTATGCCGACGTTCGTGGAAGTATGTTGTATACCATGACCATCGTTAACGATATTGTTAGCGTTGGCTTGTAGCGATCGCTGTTATAGTTATCATTACTGTTGTTGTTGTTGTTAATAATAGGGAAAAGCGGTGAGATCTTTTTTCCCGGGGGAGCAATTAGACGATACTTCTTTTCTAGAGAATGGAACACGTTCACAATTGTTACGTTTACGAAATAAACAAATTCTATAAATTACGTTTTTCTTTCCAGTTTCGCACCCGTTCATTTCGCACAAGTTTCAGCAACATCGTTTCATTTGAATTTTCCATAAAGACGTGAAAAAAAAAATAAAATAAAATATACAATCGGAATTAGGATACGAATTGTAAGAAATGTATAATCGCAATTAAAAAATAATTATGACATATATTATTACATAATTATATGTAATAATTATAATATACATATAATTACATATAATTTCTATATTCTCTTTTGTGTTTGCATATATATCAAGTAAATATCTAACTACACTTTAAAGAAGTTTAAAGAAGAGGTAATTTCTGTACAAACTGTCGGAACCACATGTAGCTCGTGCAGGCAGACAATGAGTACCAAGTGATTATATAACTCAGGTGTTCGTTCCTTAAATTTACTTTCGTCTGGCCTCCGATCGGACCTTGAGGAGTACCGTACTCGGCCAATAATTCTATGTACACGGGCTCTGCTTCTGCTACCTTTGCCATCGCATCTATATCTCTGGAACAGATATTCACGTTTGATTTTTTTTTTATATAATAAAAAACATCGCTTCTTACAATTATTAAAGATTTTTTTAATTTTAATATTCAAACGAATGTGATAGAATAACTATGCGTCTCTACCTGAAATGCCATACACCTTTTGAAGGAGTATTGTCAGGCACAAACGGCGGTCGCTTTTCGGTCGCTCTGATAACGCCGACAATTTCTACGGGATCTGTAATCCTATTTGCCATTTTGAACGTTGAGCGATCACTTTTAGGAATCCAACCACGATTCACCATGATAGTCACGCTAAGATCAAGAAAGAATTCTAAATTAATTCTATTAGTAAGTCAGAATATTCAAAAGTATTACGAGTTTTGTTCTTGTTCATAATTTTTTTTTAATCCGAAATTTAATTTTTAATCAGAAGGCATAATTACTCCTGATCCTCCAGTTTGAAAGGTGTAATCACGTAATATCCTGTGCTTCCTTTGCGTGAAAATATTCCGCCACCTTTCTCGCTAACAGCCTGCCCATTGAGAATCAGGCTTCTTGGTCCTATCAAAAATTCTCTTTCATATAAAAATTTGCCCCTCACTTTCATACGATAATATTCCTTGTCTTTTAATTCACTTAAGCTAAAATGAAATGCTTCTGTCAGACACTTGCAATGAAATAATGCTCACAATATGATAATGTAATATCATAATCTTACCTGGACGGCAAATCGATTGGCTCTGCTGCAGTGCGTTGTTTTAGAGTTTCTATTAGATCCAACTTCCACCATAATCTCTTAATTTGCCATGTGCCGAGTGCAAAAGTGGCGATAGGTACTCCCTAAAAAAATACAGAGATTGCAACGTGCGAAAATTAAATTTCAAAACTATTAACAAAATCTAGCAGTTTTCTAAATTTTCAAAACATTGTATATATAAAGATTTTTTGCATAAATTTTATCATTTTATTTTTTATCATACTTGTATATAAAATATTGCAGTCTCAATATATCTATACGTATAATATATAAAATTATTTGAACTTTTGTATCTAAATTTAACTTTCTATTTCTATGTGCACATACAAAAAAAATTATATATATTTTATAATATTATCTAATAAAATATACTTTGTATTAAACATTATTTGATTTATAAATTTTTATCTGTATTATTGTAAATATATACTTTTTTATAATATTATGATATACGACAGAATTTTAAAATAATAGATAATTTTGTTTGTAGCATTACTTGCCAACAAGCAATATCCGTATAGTCCAGTTTTTTCCTCCGATTTTGTATATCTACTCGTCTCGATGGCCTTAGGCCTCTTCAGCTTTATATCACCGCTCTTACATCTCGCTTGCGTGTTTATATTACCGAATAACGGCACGTGCGATCTTCTATCGAGAGCGCATTTCGCACCTCTCGAAACTCCAAATATCTTTGTCAAATTCATATTTCACTTTCAGTTATATATAAAACAAAAATAATAAGCGAAATCTTGCGTTTTTTTAATTGTAAACGTTTTTAATTGTAACTGTCACAGAATGTCATTGTTACACGCAAAGTTTCATCGTGCCGACAATACTCAAGCCCGATCTTCGGCAACGAAGGAGTAGAACAGCTGATGCCGGAGTTCGTAAAGTTAAAAAAAAAATCCAACGCGGAAATGTTGCATTATGGGAAATTCATATTGCGTGCAATGTCCAGTCCACCAATGAGAGGACTTGTTTTCCAAGGACAAGTGTCATCGATTTAAAGTTCGTAGAAACACGATTATTTATTGATTATAGAAATGATGACGGTCGTTTCGAAATAACAATTATTCCAGAACTTTTGAGAATTACGATTAATCAGTTATATACGGCATTTTTACGAGGCGTTTTGAATACGCCATTAGGTCGCCCCCGAGGAAAAATCCCTATGAAATCCCTTGAAGTAGGGATATTCATTACTCGACGAAGTGCGTGGCAGCAATAAGCGACCTCGGTTTATCCGGTCTTCTGTCGCATGGTTCTTTCGCTTCCGGAGAATCATGGTGAGTGAATAGTGCTCGCAGATTTATCGAGTAACGGTCGCGTAAAATCGTAGTAAATGGCAATCCGATAAATATTCCGCTATTCCCGCTTCTCTCGCGCGATCACGCTTGCAATTTTTTGTACGAAAACGGTCGCCTCGCGTTGCAAATCACCGCGCGACTTAACCTCGTCGGGCGGGCGTTTTGTCAACCGCATGGTGTGCATCGCCATGGAGTTTCACATGGCACTCCGGACGCGTCTCGCGTTCTCGTAATGGCACGACTCGATACAATATTGTTGTTCATTCGCGCGACAAATTGCCTTCAAATTGCGCTCAAGGAGCTTAAGAAGGAAAACGCATGTTAAGTCGCGTCAGCTTTACGAGCCTTTACGGCAAATTCTCCTTCTATTGATCTTAATTCGGATTCTTCAAAATTCAATGAATATTTTGCATGTTACCGGAACGGAGACTTTCTCGAATTTATTAAACTTAATATTGACCGTATGGAAGTTTTATAATTTGAAGTAACGTGAAATGAACGTAAATTGGAACGCTGCGCATCGTGAAATTTTAATATTACACAATAAGGAATCTATCACTTTTAAAGGTAGATTTAATATAGATTGTAAGAGCTGTCTCAGTAACACCTTGTTTTTTTTTTTAACAGCCGTTCCAGAGGTTCGTGCAGTCTGGCCGTGTGGCCTATGTGAGCGATGGCCTTTATCAAGGCAAACTGATCACTATTGTCGATATCATTGACCAGAATCGGGTAGGGATATTTTTCTCTATTAATTTTTTAACTTTCTTGAAAAAAATTGTAGAATTATATAGTGTCAAACAATTTTTAATAGCCGATACATTGATCGACGACTGCATTTTGATATTTACTGCCAATGCTAAAAAATCTATTGTACAAATATATTGTGCTGTAGATTTTCAGCACTGACGCTGAATATCAGAGGCCGATAATATGTTTGCTGCGTCAAAGTTTATTGTAGTCATTTTTTGATCATGCAGTAAGTTTGCATGAACTACAGTTTTACTCTCGCTGTTCTATATTATAGTGATGCGTTCCGTTTTATGCATGATCAACACATGATGTATTATTTTCTCTTTGTTTGTTGAATATAAACAAGGAGAAAATGATGTATCAAAATGTGCGTTATGCACAAAATGGAGTGCATGCAGTAATTTTCATGTTAAAAATGTTGAATATATACATAAAAACTTAATTTAAACAAGCTTAAAGTGAAGGTATATCCTTATGTTTTTATTACATTATTCTTAAAATGACGAGACAATAATATGATAGGAATTGCCGACTGATATTGGTGATGCTAATTTTTCTTTCTGATGATGTAATTGTAATGCTTATAACAAACTGTTAAGTTCTTTAGATTCTTAAAACCACCTACTCTCTTTTCAGGTTCTAGTCGATGGCCCGTCGTCAGGTGTACCTCGTTGCGAGATGAGACTCAACGAGCTCCACTTGACAAAATTCCGTTTGCGTTTCCCGTTCTCTGGATCCACTCGTGTTGTGCGTAAAGCCTGGAACGCGGCTAATATCAATGAACTTTGGAAACAGACGATGTGGGCCAGAAAAGTTGAAGCTAAGAAGAAGGTATTAAAAGATTTGAGAATTCTTTTATTATGCTAATAACTGATAGTCACTATTTATATCAAATAAATATATTTATTTGATTTATAACAAATGATGCTGATGTACTTTTATATCTTAAGAGAGAAAATATACATATCGAGAAAAATTATGTTTATAAAAAGAGACACTTAAATATGTGATGAACCAGTATTTTTTTGATAGGAAATGCCGTCCGACTTTACTCTGACGATGCTTACTCATTCTGACGATATAGTTGCGACCTCAAAATTAATATACTTTCAAACGACTTATATTCAGTAAAAATATCTATTTTCTGTTTCAGCGTGCGCAACTCAGCGACTTCGACCGCTTCAAGCTGCGCAAAGCGAGGCAAATAAGAAATAAATTGCGAACAGACGCGTTTAACAGATTAAGAAGAAAACCGAAGAAAGTCGCGGACAAAGATGCTGACGCTAAAGATAAGAAAAAAGTGAAAGCTAGTAAGAGCGCAAAAAAGATGGAGAAGAAGTAAGAACATTCTGAATTAAATACAAAATTATTTTATGAGGGTCTTGTTATTCATCATATTCCTTTCGCATGCTATGAAAAATTATTACTGAAAAAACCCATTTGTCTTATTAAGTGGACATTAAGAGAACTATTACATTATAAAATTAAAAGATAAAAAAAAGTAGAAACAAAAAATAAGATCGACACTAATTATCGATATCTATTGCTACATTTTTATCGATTTAAAAGAGTTTAAATTTTCGTGATTTATGGAGTATCGACAATTAAAAGATTGGCTGCATTCAGCAGAAAAAAGCAGCTTAAGCGTTTTGCGCTGAGTTATACTTGAGATTTGAATTGAGATGGATCTCTCTATTCCTCTGGATCTAAAAATATAATCTAATCAACGCGAAGTGCTTATTAAGCTGCTTTTTCTGCTGAACGCAGCCATTTACTGATATCGGGTAATTTATTAACAATTTCGGCACATCCAGTTTTCAATAATCGATAAAGTGACATATTGCTTTTATCAATTGTTGGTATTTTGTTGGTTGGTCCGACACTCTAAAAAAAAAACAAAATTATAATCAAATATGAGGTGGGCCTTTTAAATAAGCAGTTTTTTTTTTTTTTTTTTTTAAGAGAATGCAAACAGAATTTTAAGGAAACGTTTTTTTTAAATTTAATTTCGACCATTTCGACTGTGTTTTACTTTAGACATTTCGTTCGACTTTAATCACAAAGATATCTGTGTATTGATTAATTTCAACTGGGCATTAGTTTAGTAGAAATGCAATATTATAGTTTTGATAAATTTGCAACATTATATATTAAATAAGAATCATTATCACGTGTTTTTGAACAGGAAAAAGACTTAGATATATATAGATATTGAACAAGTAGAAAACGTAATTAGCGATTAATATTTATTTCTAAAACAGTATCCTAAATTATTGTGTCGCACTAGATTTATATATATAAGATTTTATATATATATGTATAATTTATATATATATATATACATATATATATAAATTAATTATATGCCGGATCTATGTACAGCATTAACACTTCGCGTTCCTTATCAAAAGTCCTATAGCGTAACAACTGCACTAGTTAAATCTGTTGTGTCAAATTGAACCTTATTTAAGTCGCCACTGCTCCTACTTAATAAATAGTTATTTCTAAATAAAATAATACAGCTACTTTTAAATAAAACAATAGAATTTAACCCAAATTTGGATTAAATTTAAACTTTTAAATTATTTAACTTCATCGTTTTAGTAAAAAATAACTATTTATTAAGTAGGAGAAGTGGTGACTTAAATATAAGGTTCAGTTTGACACTATATAGATTTAACAGTGTGAAAGAGTCTTTCGAACGACTCTCATTTTACTCTCGCTCGTCATGTCGCGCATGCAGACGTGAAATGCAGGTCAGCTCGCGAATGCAATTTAAGTCGAATTGACTTGTAAATGATGTCAATAATCGTGTGTTCTGTCTTTAATGGCGATGCATTAATGGCAATTCGATATATACCCGGTCGTCAGGGCATGCCTCAACGATTCTTGATTCTCCCCTGCGCGGGCAAATGGTAGTTAAAAACCACATAATCCGTTACGTAAGCGAGAAGACACGCTACTTACGTATTAGAGAGAAATTCGAGCCGGGCACCATTGATGCACCCGACCGTGCAAGTTACGCATGTGTGTGTGTGTGTGTGCGCGACACACATCTTATATCATACAGATCTGATAAAAATCTGTCTTTTGAACATTTAACGGGAAGTCGTTCTTTCAATCGATCGTTCATCGACGCGCGAAAAACGCGTCACCGTCAGTCGACGCTGCGCTTGTAGTTTATTGTACAGAAATGCGCGCTCCACCTCGCTCGAAAATTTTTACAGACAACAATGGGGGCACGCGGAAAATAGATAACTGCAAGAGTTACAAATCTAGACTTAATTCTGGCTTATATATGGCGGATATCACGACTTCTCCGTTTTTTTCCTTTTTTTTTTCGTAGAGAAGCCCCGATTGCAAAAGTCCACCCGGGTAAAAATCATTTGCACTTTTGTCGCGCTCGTAATTTTTTCTATTTGTCTTTCTTTACTTCTTTTTATATCAGAAATATTAATTACTAATTTTTCTACGGCGTGATAGTGTGCGATAGTAATATAAATAGCAACTCCTTTTTACAAAGATGACGCTTAGCGAGTAAAATTAATCATTACTTAGCTACGATTTTTTTAGCATTATATCTTTGCCTCCGCGAGAGGTTGAAAAGATTTATTGATTAATAATAAGGATATTGCGATACAAATCTAGTAATAGAATATTTGAAATATTCAAGAGAACACGTCGCGATACCGTAATAATGATCAAAAAGAAAGAAATAAAACTTAACAATCGACTCAATAACGAAAAAAATAATGTACAAAAAAAGTATACAGTGTATACCTATTGCTCTCTTTTACTTGAAAATCTTTGATTATGCGTACTTTCAAATCGCATATCTCGAAAGATATTTTAGTGTCTAATGATCATTATAAAATATTGCTTTAAAAATACTTCATTTTCAATCATTGCAGTTTGCAGCACGGTATTCCAATGTTAGAAATGTAGACAGACAGCAGCATCCGTAAAATATTTCCCGCTAAATTACACACACTCAGTGATACACAGTAATAAATATAACGATAAAATACGTAACGCACGCAAACAGAAGCATCATAATATTGCGACGTATAATCAGCTTTCTTTCCAATTTGAATATTTTTCCTTTGGGATCACATCAGATGTCAATGTTTTTTCACGATACAACAACCAGGATTTGTTGGCGTTTATACGCACGCCATGAAAATTAAATTAAATTATATTAGTAGATCCTAAAAGAATAAAAAAAGTTTAAATATGGATAAAAAGACAGAAGTAAAGGAAAAAAACTGATTTAAAAAAACATTCGGTATATGAAAATTTTAAAAGACAACGATCGATGTGTGTGTTTGCATGCGTGTCTGTCTTTCCTCCGTCTTCACTTTCCTTCCCGTTTATTATTACCATTCGGAATTGATGCAGAGTACGGTGCACGTTACCTTGCGTGTGCATATACTCGCTGTCAAACGCGATTACACCGTACACTTAAGGGTCAAGAGGTTTTCGAGGGTCGAACGTCTTCGCGAGTAATCGTAAGATCGGCCGAACGCGGATCGTCTTCGCTCATCCCGGCTCATTCCTCAGTTGTTCTTGCCGCTGTTGAGAGTGACGTCCAACGGCTCGTCCATGCTCTGCGCGATGTCCTGCTGCTGGTGATTGCTCGGCAAATGATGGAACAACGAGTGCCTGGCGGACGACACGGGATGGTGGCCCTTCAGGGTGAGATCCATCTCGGCCTCCTGCGGCCGCTCCCTCGTTGCCAGACCGTCGCCAGGACGGTCCGCGGGACTCGCGCAGATCCTGGGCGGCGTTCCGCATCGGCACTTGAGCCTGTCGGGCGATTTGTCGCAACTCGGTACCGAGTATCTGCGAATACGCGCAACGGCGTGTCACATCAGGCAAACGGTGACATCAGTCGGAAGATTTAGCGAATATTTTCTAGATTAAATCGATTAAACACAGAGTAACGTTCCTTCCCCAGAATAATAACGTAGAATATCATAAATCTATTCACGGAGAATATTTTCTTTATTCCGATCAATCTATGGACACTGATTGTGGAATACGGAATATCAGTTTTTTATAAGAAAAGATCCGGTCTTAGGAGATTATGTAAAATTGAATTTCATTATTGTCTTTTTTTCTGCGACGATTAATTTCCTCGTTGCGATTTACTCCGTATCGCGATCAGCTATCGTCGTGACAATCGTGTATATGTATTTAATAATTATTTTAATGGATGGAGTACTAATAATAGTAATAAATATTAGTGTGAATAATTTTATACATCGTGGACAGTTTAATATTTCGAATGACGAAAGAAATTGTGTTTGCATGTTTGCTTCAAATTCGCATTGATGTGAATTATTTTGTACCATAAGTATCATCACGGAACTTATCATGTATTTTTATAATTGATAAGTACGTGCTAAGGATTGATAATTAGGTTTTATTCAAAATTAATTTTCAAGTATTGACTCGATTGGGCGCAACAAAACACACGCCATTTTATAATTTATTAATTTTTTTAAAGCCATGGTACACAGAAAAACGTAAGCAGCAAATAAATCAACCAATTATAATCAAGCAGTAAGGCAATAATATAAGCAGTAGCGAATAAAAGATATTAATTTTCTTATGTCTTACGGCTCACGTTTTATTTTTTTCTGTGTTATTGATTTCATATACGGATATTTCGTTTCCACATGTTTTATATTTTCTAGAAAGATATTCACAGATATAATTAAATTTTTAAATCACCAGTTTTTTATGACAAAGTAATCGTATGAGCATGAATTAGAAATTTAAATCGTATTTTTTATTCACTATTTATCAAAGTAATTTTCGCAATACCTATACAATTAAAATTATCGGATGATTTTATCGATTAATTATGAATTGATCGATACGCATGTATGAATAATAAGAATAATAAGAAATCTATTCGCGCGCGTATTAATGTTTAATTTTTTTTAAAATAATTTTTAATCCTATATTGTGACTCTGTGGTCTTGACATTTTTATATCGAAATTTCTTTTGTTGATATAATGTGTGTGTTTGTTGCAAAAACATGTAAATTTTAAACGTCAAATATCTGTTAATTTAATTAATTTGGATAAAAATTTAACGTCTATATAATTCAAAACTTAACTGATTTGAAACTTTTAACTGATAATTTCATTGGAAATACATATTCGTATCATTAATATGATTTTTTAAAAACATTAATTTTTATTATTTATTTTTATATAAGCCTTAGAAATATTATTTTAAAAATCCGTGAACCAGAAACGTATAAACGTGCATGTAGCGCAAGAGAAAGTGCAAAAAAGTAATAACTGAAAGTGATAATACAATAAATTACGTAATCACTTATCAAAGATACACTTCTATATACGGAACGCTTACCCGGGCAGCGGCGGAGGCAGGATTCGAAAATCTCTGCAGACCGACACGGGACCGCCAATCTCGGGTAGCTTGTCGGTCGCGTTCGGCGAGCCCGTGAGGGCCGACGAGGACGACGGCGAAGTGGAGGATGCGTCGCTGGTGGCGGCGGCAGTGGTCCTCTCGAGGCCACCGGGGGGTGGCCGGCCGAGCAACAGCGGAGTGGCGCTCCCTAAACCCAAGCATCGCATTCTCCACGCGTCCTGCAGCAATTGTAACCGAGCTTGCTTTCTCCACTTTGCCCGTCTGTTTTGAAACCATACCTGCGGAGGAACCGCTGATCTGACCGATCGTTGCCGTAATTTCGTTCCCGCCCTCTCCCGCTGCCGCGGGGCGAGAAAATGGCGAACATTATACGGAGGAAACATGAATTACTGGGGGTTGCGGGATCGAAAAGCGATCCCGCGAACGTATAATGTATGTTTTTACAACGCTGTTTGTAAGTCGATTTTTAAATACGATATTCAACTAATTTTGATGATAACAATTCAGATGGATGATAAATGAATTTCGATATTTCGAAATATCATTTATCGGGAAGATTTTATTATTTCTATATCTCGCAAAGGGAGAAAAAAGTGTGCTTTTTCAAATGATTGATACCGCGCGCGCACTTGATCTAGAACAAGTTTTTTAATTCCCAATTTTAACCGTGATTTTAATTCTGATTCTATAAATAGATTTCAAACAGTTAAAAAAATATATATGAGTCTTTTGGGGAGAAATTACTTTTGCGTCACTCTCATCGGACGAAGGGGCGATCCGCGGCGTTGCACAGCCAATTACTAAATACCCCGTATAGTTTACCCGTTAACACGCTCTAACGGGATTCGCGGGTGAGAAGATTCGAAAGCATTAATCGAAAGCATTAATTTACTCTCGGGATGAACTTCCATGTTCCTCGCGGTCGATTTCTCGTATTCGTCGGCGCGCGGATTCGTCCGGCCGTCGTTTCATCAGGCGCTCGCCTAATCGTTTTCGCACAATGGCCCCGACGCAACCAGATGTACGCGGGTCCTTTGTGATACGATCGCGGATCAAGCCAGTTTTGTTCGTATTTCTGATATCATTAATGAATCGAAACATCTGCGCCGACTTGACCCCGCGGGTTGAAAGCTCCGTTGCTCCGACTTCTGCACTTGATATCGCAAGGAAATTAATTGATCGGACAATCCGTGTCGTGTCGGTCACTGATTGATTAGATAATCCCCCTACGAGTTTTAAACGAGTTTTTCGCGGTCGTGGTATTTTTGTGAAATTAAATCCAATTTAATTGAACGTCACTTTTTGCGAATTTATTTTATTGATTGCCACAAGATTATTAGTTTAAATAAAAGCAATATAGATATAAAGTTTTTTGATAAAAGATTCGAGACACACGTGTGTGTAATTACTGTAATATATAGCAACGTTCCTTTTCTCATCAATAAATAATTAATAAATGAATAATTAGACACGCACGGGAAATTAATTTGCGCATACTATACAAAATAAGACAAAAGAATTCTGATGAAAATTCGCTCTCTGATCTTCTTTCGTAATTACGCACGTTAAATTGGAAGAAAATTTATTGATTTAATACACTCCGCGTTCTCCCGTGTTTTAATTTGTTTCCGTCGGCATTTTGTTGTAAACGATCACATTTTGTCGATGTATGTACGGTAATATATGAAATAACAACTCGACTAATGGAAAATTAGATCCACCGCGATTGCGATCATTAGCGGGTTAATCCGGGAAAGCGAACGAGAATAAACCGCGCACGTTTCCTGCAAACAGTTTATTTGGACTTTAATTAGCGAACAGTTTTAGGGAACGAAGCAATCCGTTGGAAGGCTGTATTTCGTAGATTTCGAGGTTGCAAGCTTCCTCTGTAGCCTTTCGCGGAAAAGGCGAAGGCGAAAGCTTTACCTCGGATAATTTTCCGAGGAAAAGGGTTCTTTCTGTCAAGCAGAGAAAGTAAAATTATTCGAATTTACCATAGATCGATGTAAAATTTTCGATTGATTGATAAAACTTTTCCTTCGAGAGAAATTTATCGATTTTTAATTTGTTTGATAAATATTTTCAATAAAAATTTATTAAAAATTAAAAATTCTCGCTTGATTGAAACTTTTTACAAAAAAATTTCTTATTTTATTTATAATCTACGTATATGCTCTTCTTAATTTACTTTCAATAACTTTTTCGCCAGTATGCTTCGTTTATCAATTACACAATTGTCATAAAATTCGACAATGTGATCGATATTAAGAAATGTTTGCGTAATAATTAACAAAAGTTTTTCTTGAAAGTGAACAGAAGGAACTAGTTGAAAAATTGAAAGTGAAATCAGTGAACGGAATTGCAAGGAAGATTCACCTGAACACGTGCTTCCGAGAGCGATATCCGAAGTGCGACTTCTTCTCTGAGGAATACATCGGGATAATGCGTTTTCTGGAAAAGAGATTCCAATTCCTGAAGCTGTTGCGGCGTGAACGTGGTCCGATTGCGTCTCTGCTTGAAAAAGTTTCAAGGATCTGACTGTTACATATGTCACGAACACCAACATCTCGATGTATGTATATACTCCATAAAATTATTTCACAACTTTTAATCATAAAGTCATTTCTATTGCATAGCACAAAGACGGCATACGACATCATATTTTTACGTTACCATGCATAGCGATATTATAATGAACGCTGCAATTTCCAATTTATTTCATATAAAGAATATAAAGATATTAAAATTAACGCATTAAAAAAATTGTATTATTTAAAATTAATATTAATATATTAACGTATGAAGTAGATTGTTGCTATACATTTTAATAGTAAATTAAAAAGCAAAATCAAGAAAAATTTGGGGCTACGTAAAATATAAATTTCATTCAACCCAGTTCAACTCGAAATTTTGCAATAAATTGGTATCAAATTGAAATCAATACTTTGCTACGAAGTTATACAGTAAAAAAATATAAATCTTATCTAATCCATCATGGAATATATAAAACTCGTGCGCTTTTTCCAACTATTATAGATTGTATATCTACTATTGATATTTCACAAGTAAAATTAATAATTATATAAATATGAATTTCATATGTATAGATATCTTTCATAATACACAGGTTTTCTATGTATATTACTACATTACATTATATTTTTTTATGTATATTATTATTTATCGTAAATTTAATTTCACGTGACTGTGCTCAAACTATGCTTGCGAATTTCGCTCTTTATTTTCATTTTTCGCGTTTTATCTATATTCTTTACAAGCAAGGAATACTCCGAAAGTTAAGTTAATTGAAAGTTATTTGAACGTATACAAATATTTGGGGAATGAGAATTCAGTACGATTTTTTGGTAGCCTCTTTCTCGGCTACCAAAAAATCGTATTGAACCCGAATTAACAACGAACACGGATAGCGATTCACGGGGAGGAGATCTAGCAATAAATTTCCAAAATGTGAAATTAAGAGAAACGTACACTGACCTGACGACGACGCCCGAACATGTACTCGGTAAGCAGATCGGCCTGGGGCCCGAGGGGCGACAGATACGGGCCCGCCATGGCGAGCGGCCGCGCGCGCTCGGTCCCGCGGGGTTGACCGCTCACGGGGATGAAGAGGACGACGGCCCTCCTCGGCGACTCCAGCGGAAGAGATCCTCACTGTCGCAGCAGTACGGGCCGCTCGCTCGGCGCGAACATGGCGAGAGCACTGCGAGGTGAGTCGTTACTACTTTCCAGGAGGGTGAGAGCGTAAACGAGGGGGGTAGTTGCGACTCTCCGTTCCGCAACCCCCGAGAGCTCGCGCGCATCGCGGGGACGGCCGCGCCATTGGCCGCGCGGCATCGGGGGGCGGTTCTGCCGCGTTAAGAATCGCGCACACCCCTCCGCGAGACGTGCAGCTACGTTGAAAATCCGCTAAATCGTGGTCTGCACCCTCCTCCACCTCCACCCCCGCGACCCTCTTTCCCCCGATCCCTCTCACCCATATGTTCTATCCTGTTTATCCCCGCTGTTGGTCCCCGGCCGCTAACTCTTTCCCGCCCACGCTTTTGCTCTTTCTTCGTCATTCTTCGCCCGCGTTCCGTTCGCGCTTTGCACCCGTTTCTCCCCATCGACCCTCTTCCACCGGCGTGTACGTGTGTGCGCGTGTGTGTATGTGTTTTTTTTTACTTTCCTTTATTTTATTTTCTTTTTCTCCGTCTTCGCCTTTCTTCTTACTCCTCATCTTCGTTCACTTCGAGACGGAAATAAGCTCGATCACTCGGCAAGGCAGTTTTCTTCGACTTCCGGGGTGAAACCTCGAAAACGTATCAGAGACGTTATCAGGATGCAGGTGGCGGCATCGATCATCGATAGGCTTTAAACATGACGTAAGTGCGTACACATACATCGGGTGTAGCAAAAGTCTCTCGTTTTGAAACGCTTTTCCTCGCCTACGGATTCTAATCCGGGATTGACATTTCTTTAGCGAACGTTTTTCTCGTGAATTTAAAATCTCTTTCCTCTCAGAGTTTGAAAAAAAGACCTGAAGATTCGCTCGGAATTGATGAAAGGATATTAAATTTTGACTGTTTTTTTTTTATTTTTTTTTTATTTTTTTTGGCTAACACGAAGTTCCGATATGTACAAATCATACATCATACTTAAGCGGAGTCGAGTGGTGTATCATTTATCTATTAAAAAAACATCGGAAACATGAGAGAAATCATGATTAAAAATAATAATGCTATCACGTTTATTGACAAAAAGTTGTTAAGTAAGACGTCAAGATAGCGGGAGAATTAAGCAATTTAAATATAAGTTTAATACTTGTAATATAAGTGTAATTCATAGGCATCGTTCGTTATTCAGAGCTATAATTCGAAATCAAATGATTATTTTGTATCGAACTCTTTGTCGGTCGTCGAAGTCGCTCGAAAATCTATTATGCGCGTTTAAGTAACAATAAAATCCTTGTTGATTAATTTCCGACGTCTTATTTAATAACAACTTTTTATCAATAAATGTGATAGCATTAGACTTTTATTGTCTTTCATCACGATTTTTCGCATGCTCCTGATGGTTTTTTCAAGATAAGCGATATATCACTTCGCTTAAATAGTTCTTCAATATAATAATTCGTACATATTGAAATTTTTTAATGTCAGCCGAAAAACTTAACATGCTTTATTTCTTTACTTTGAAGACTCAATTTATTAAAAATATCTGGCCTAACTTTTAATCGTTCGTTATTTGAAAAATAATTTGAGGACCACATAATTAATTTTCTTTAATTCAATTTTGATATATACATTTTTAAGAAAAAGCGGTTTTTTCCGATACGGCTCACATATTTGTATATAATAATAATATTCTTTAAATAAAATATGTAATAATATTATTCAAGTAGAACATAGGACATCAACAAGAGATTTTCATCGTGGCACACGGGATACATTTGCATATAGAGTATAATACTTAGAATGTTTGGTTAAATCCTTTATTTTATAATTCCAAATCATCCTTTATTCCATAATTTTACTAATCAAAGTGAAATAAAAAATATTATATAGACAATACTAGTTAATCTCTCCAATTTTTTCTAAAATAACAAGTATAGCTAGTTAGTTAATTCTCTATCGATACTCTTCTTTAAAGGAAGAGCGCGAATGTCTCAATTACATTAAAATTATATATATTTCTCTTGCTTACGTAGCGTATGTATCAAATGAACGATAAGCGCACTCGGCAACGAGAACACCCGTTAAGTTTCCCCATAAATTAGCGACGGGCTTGCCTCGGTTCGTCCATGTCCGCGAAAGAGCGGGTAAATATGCAATCATTTGATTGACGCAACCTCCCGTATATTTGATGACATTGTGGCGCTCGTCTCTAGGGGGGTGCGCATCATTTACGTTTCTCCCCCGAGCTCGCGTCCCTTTGATACTTGGCGCATTGACTGCAAACGCAGCAACATTACAGACTTTGTTTTTATTCTCGTTCTCGGTTTTTTTCTTCAATTAACGAGCAGACAGGTGCACAGAAGAAATTCGATTCGATTCGTAGGACAGGGACGTACGTTCTGATCATCGCGCTTTGACATACGGTAGAGTGTCGATTATCCGACATACCATCATTATAGATTAATATAAATCAACATAGATTAATTTTTATCTTGATTGAACTGCTCTTTATCCTTTTCTAATTTTTAGAACTAGAAAAAGATAAAAAATAAATCAAATAAATCAATTTAACCGAGATTAAAATTAATTTTTTACAGAAAACTGGACACTAGTTAAAGTCAAACGTGAACGTACATATTTTTTAAATCGAAAGCGACTTTTGTTTTACCGTTCTCTTATTTTATCATCTTATTTAAAACCGTCGTATTCGTATATAAATCGATATTAAGTTAATATGTAAATATAGAAACTGTAGGGCCAATTATTGATAAGAGATCGAAAGTAATTACAAGAACGGAGTACTTGTGGGTTTAACAAATGTTAAATGTTGTGAACGGAATGAGAACGGAGGATTCTGAATTAAAGAAAAAAATCTCGATCAGCTCCGTTATATACTTTTTTTCCGTTTCCTACAAAATCAGTTAAACCGCGAAATCCCTAATACACTTTATTATTATATTGTTAGATAATATATGTATTTTATAATTAAAAATACTTGCATTTCACATTTATACTCAGATTAAATAAATGCACAACTGCTTTAATATACTCCAGTGCGCATTTGTGCATCTAACCGAATTAATCTTTGTTTACAGCTCACTGGTCCGGTGACAAAATAAAGAATAATTAAAGTTTCAATAATACTCGAATAATCAAATTTTATTAGGACATGCGTTATGTAATCAAATAAACAAGTTAGATGACCCGGTCTATTGTATCTATAATTTTTTTTAAATATACATATTCTGTTATTCGGTCTAGTTAATTATCCGTTATGGTCCGATATGGTTCTCATATCCTGACTAGACTAATTGAATGTTCTCCTGCACTCCAATGCGTAATCGCATAGCGTAGCGAGTTTGTTCGTGAGTTTTGCTGAGTTTGACGAA